ACCGAAAGGGAAACTATGAGATGAATAAATTCCTATGGGATATACATTGGGACACAGAACTCGGAACCAAGTCCGTGCAAGACATGACGGACTATGTCACCCAAAAATGTCAGGAGGCTGTAAGCAGGTTTGTCCCAGCCCAACAGGAAAAATCAGAGAAGCAAAGGAAGAATCCGTGGTTTAATAGGGAATGTATGAAAGCAAAGGAGCTGAACAAAAGGGCATGGAGGAACTTCCGTAATAACAGAACATCAGAAAGTAGAGAGAGATACCAGAGAACCAGGAACGAGTATGTTAGTGTGAGAAGAGCTAATAAAGCCAAGACCGAACCAAAGCTACTACACAGTCACATCAGGAGGAAGACAACAGTGAAGGAACAGGTGATGAAACTTAGGGTGGGCGAGGACAGGTACACAGAGAATGACAAAGAGGTGTGTGAAGAACTCAACAAAAGGTTCCAGGAGGTCTTTACAATAGAGCAGGGAGAAGTCACGGCGCTAGGAGAGGTGGCAGCAAACCAGGTGACCTTGGAAAGGTTCGAAATTACAAGAGATGAGGTCAAGAAGCACCTATTGGAGCTGGATGTGAGAAAAGCTGTTGGGCCGGATGGAATCTCACCATGAGTATTGAAAGAGTGTGCAGGAGCACTTTGCTTGCCACTCTCCATAGTGTATAGTAGGTCACTGGAAACGGGAGACCTACCAGAAGTATGGAAGACTGCTAATGTAGTACCAATATTTAAAAAGGGTGACAGACAAGAGACACTGAACTACAGGCCAGTGTCCTTGACTTGTATACCATGCAAGGTGATGGAGAAGATTGTGAGAAAAAACCTAGTCACACATCTGGAGAGAAGAGACTTCGTGACAACCCATCAACATGGATTCAGGGAGGGTAAATCTTGCCTTACAGGCTTGATAGAATTCTATGATCAGGTGACAAAGATTAAGCAAGAAAGAGAAGGATGGGCGGACTGCATTTTTTTGGACTGTCGGAAAGCCTTTGACACAGTACCCCATAAAAGGTTGATGCATAAGCTGGAGAAACAGGCAGGAGTAACTGGTAGGGCGCTCCAGTGGATAAGGGAGTACCTAAGCAATAGGAAGCAGAGAGTTATAGTGAGGGGTGAGACCTCAGACTGGCGTGAAGTCACCAGTGGAGTCCCACAGGGCTCTGTGCTTGGACCTATCCTGTTTCTGATATACGTAAATGATCTCCCAGAGGGTATAGACTCATTCCTCTCAATGTTTGCTGACGACGCCAAAATTATGAGAAGGATTAAGACAGAGGAGGACAGCTTGAGGCTTCAAGAAGACCTGGACAAGCTGCAGGAATGGTCGAACAAATGGATGTTAGAGTTTAACCCAAGCAAATGTAATGTAATGAAGATAGGGGTAGGAAGCAGGAGACCAGATACAAGGTATCACTTGGGAGATGAAATACTTCAAGAGTCAGAGAGAGAGAAAGACCTGGGGGTTGATATCACGCCAGACCTGTCCCCTGAAGCTCATATCAAGAGGATAACATCAGCAGCATATGCCAGGTTGGCTAACATAAGAACGGTCTTTAGAAACTTGTGTAAGGAATCTTTCAGAACATTATATACCACATATGTCAGACCAATCCTGGAGTATGCGGCTCCAGCATGGAGTCCATATCTAGTCAAGCATAAGACTAAACTGTAAAAGGTTCAAAGGTTTGCCACCAGACTAGTACCCGAGCTGAGAGGTATGAGCTACGAGGAGAGACTACGGGAATTGAACCTCACTTCGTTGGAAGACAGAAGAGTTAGGGGGGACATGATCACCACATTCAAGATTCTCAAGGGAATCGACAGGGTTGATAAAGACAGGCTATTTAACACAAGGGGCACACGCACTAGGGGACACAGGTGGAAACTGAGTGCCCAAATGAGCCACAGAGATATTAGAAAGAACTTTTTTAGTGTCAGAGTGGTTGACAAATGGAATGCAATAGGAAGTGATGTGGTGGAGGCTGACTCCATACACAGTTTCAAGTGTAGATATGATAGAGCCCAGTAGGCTCAGGAACCTGTACACCAGTTGATTGACGGTTGAGAGGCGGGACCAAAGAGCCAAAGCTCAACCCCCGCAAGCACAACTAGGTGAGTATAACTAGGTGAGTACTATACGACATGCACTATACGACATACACTATACAACATACACTATACAACATGCACTATACAACATACACTATACAACATGCACTATACAACATACACTATACAACATGCACTATACAACATACACTATACAACATACACTATACAACATACACTATACAACATACACTATACAACATACACTATACAACATACACTATACAACATACACTATACAACATACACTATACAACATACACTATACAACATACACTATACAACATACACTATACAACATGCACTATACAACATACACTATACAACATACACTATACAACATACACTATACAACATACACTATACAACATACACTATACAACATACACTATACAACATACACTATACAACATACACTATACAACATACACTATACAACATACACTATACAACATACACTATACAACATACACGTTCAGGGTTCTGAACTATTCTAAAAATAAAAATAAACTAAAAACTGAAAATAGGAACGGCATACAAAACGCAGTCAAGCCCCGCTATAGGGAACAAAACCTTGCCTTCGAAAAATGCAATAAATTAGCTTTCACAACTGGAAGAATAACGACAGTCTCGATAACAAGAACTTCAACAATAAGAACATAGCATAAATGAACAAATCCACAAGGGCCGTGACGAGGATTCGAACCTACGTCCGAGATCATTCCAGACGCTGCCTTAATTTAATAATTAAGGTTCCCAATTTAAAAAGATATATTAAAAAACAATATTTTGCCCCCCACCTTTCGACCATCATTAGTTCAGTGCAGTCGAATTGGCTTGGGCAAGTTCCTCTAGTCTGGCCCAATTATTTACTGATCTAACTGAAAAGTTCTTTTTTGGTATCTACCTCTTTCACCTGTGTTTGCAGGCAACAATGTTCTCTCGTTCTGCTGTTCCTTAATTTGAAAATGGCTTCTATATTTTTTTGTCAATCCCCGATAGTATCTTGTATCTTGGGTATCGAGTCTTGAGTCTTAATGTTTATAGAATTGTCTGGCACATGGCGTCAGAACTGCCTTGAGAAATTTGTGTAAGGAATCATTCAGAGCCTTGTATACCACATTTGTCAAGGCAATCTTGGAGAATGCGGCTCCAGCATGGAGTCCATATCTAGGCAAGGAAACAAACTCTGAGAAGGTTCGTAGGTACGCCAGTAGATTAGTTCCAGGACTACGAGGTATGAGTTACGAGGAAAGGCTAAGTGATTGAACCTCACGTCACTTGCGCGTCCGTGCGTGCACACAGCATTAGTGAGAGTGGGAGGGCACCACCCCAGGAGCGGGGCACCACCCCAGGAGCGGGGCACCACCCCAGGAGCGGGGCACCACCCCATGAGCGGGGCACCACCCCAGGAGCGGGGCACCACCCCAGGAGCGGGGCACCACCCCAGGAGCGGGGCACCACCCCAGGAGCGGGGCACCACAACTGTAGACTAGACAAGACTTGTCACCAATCCATTACAAAATGGGTCATCGCCAGTGTAACTTTCTTCACGTCAAGGCAAGGATCTCCTTCCAGTCATACAGATATTGATGCTCTTGAACCCTCATATGATATGTGAGAATTGTGTACTTCTTTGAAGAGAGATGGCGGACTGTACAGTCACAGTGAGAGACGTCACAGTGAGAGACGTCACAGTGAGAGACGTCACAGTGAGAGACGTCACAGTGAGAGACGTCACAGTGAGAGACGTCACACTGAGAGACGTCACACTGAGAGACGTCACACTGAGAGACGTCACACTGAGAGACGTCACACTGAGAGACGTCAGTGAGAGACGTCACAGTGAGAGACGTCACACCCGCTACATACCTTTGTTTTATTGTAGATATTTAAAGGTAAAATATTTATTGTATTTTTCGGAAAGATTGTAATTCATTGAAGGCCTTTTGTAATAGTTAATTCATTACAAGAGAAAGTGTAGTTTATTAAGGAGAAAGTAAGGGACATTGATGCGGGTGAAACAAGGACCCGCGGGCGGAAAGTATGAGATGAGACGCTACGGTCCATCTTCTAACCTTACACTGTCTTCACCTGTATAATATGACGTCTTTATGGTTGTGGCAGGTAATCCACCCTCTCATAGTGCCACCCACTACCCCACCCTAGCAGGCGATGAGTCACAATAACATGGCTAAAGTATGTTGACCACACCACACACTAGAAGGTGAAGGGACGACCACGTTTTGGTCCGTCCTGGACCAAGTCGACCTCAATCGACTTGAGAATGGTCCAGGACGGACCGAAACGTCGTCGTCCCTTCAACTTCTAGTGTGTGGTCTGGTCAACTCACCCTAGCAAGTTAAAGGCCGCTCCTGTGCCAGGTAAGTTCACTACGGGCTCACCATAGCCCGTGCTGCTCTGAACTTACGTTTCAAGCAGCTGAATCTAAAACAAGAACAACAACTCTCCCTAGGTCAGGGTAGTAGAGTGGTGGAGGTTGTGGCTGGCAGTAAGTTGGTCGTGGGTTCCAGTCACCTAACAACTCCAGTTGATGTGTTGACTGTTGACGGGAGACATCTCCCGTCACGCAGGGTGCAGGCGCACCTCCACAGATCTCCACTATCAGCTCTTGATACTGGTAATGGCTCAAAAGGGCCACCACTTACGGGCTATTCATGCCCGTGCCACCTTTTTGGTGGCTTAATCTTCATCAATCAATCAATCTGTTGAGTGTTGTTATTGTTACGTAGTGTTGTAGGTTGTGGCCTTTGTTAATAACATGATGGTAAACTAGAGTTGTGTTGTAATGTGTCCAGTAGGACACGGTGTGTTGCTTTGTGCTACTTTACTATCGTGTTTTGTTTCTTCCCACCAGGGCAGCAGCAGGTGGGAGAGCAGGAGCTAGCCACGAAGATGCTGCAGATCCAGAGTAAGCGCTTCTACATAGATGTTAAACAGAACAGACGAGGACGGTTTATGAAGGTGGCGGAGGTGAGTAGTGCTCCTCGACCTCTTCCTCTCATTACCTTCTCTTAATTGCCTTTACTGTCTCTTGCCAGGATAACTCACTCTTGCCAGGGTAACTCACTCTTGCCAGGATAACTCACTCTTGCCAGGGTAACTCACTCTTGCCAGGGTAACTCACTCTTGCCAGGATAACTCACTCTTGCCAGGGTAACTCACTCTTGCCAGGGTAACTCACTGTTGTCAGCATAACTCACTCTTGTCAGGATAACTCACTCTTGTCAGCATAACTCACTCTTGTCAGCATAACTCACTCTTGCCAGGGTAACTCACTCTTGTCTGTGTTATCTCTCTCGTGACTGACCACGCCTCCTGGTTGGTTGTGGGGTCAAGTGCTCGTTCGTACTCTGACCTAACACCACCAGCCGCTAGGTAAAGTATAGCTTGGACGGCTATATTAACGTCCCATTACATGCCGGAGGAGCTGGGCCGGTCGTCATCCTTATATTTAGTGGGAGGCAAAAGAGGGAAGCTTTTAGAAAGGTTTGGGCCCCTTGATGTTCATAGAATTGTCTTTAAAAGTACCTATTGCACCCGTGCTTCTCAATATATCACATTCTGCCACGCCAGGGAGATGCCAAATGCCATTCGGCCTCTGGGAGCCGGTCGGCCGACCGGGCAGCACGCTGGACTTGTGATCCTGTGGTCCCGGGTTCGATCCCGGGCGCCGGCGAGAAACAAATTGGCAAAGTTTCTTTCACCCTATGCCCCTGTTACCTAGCAATAAAATAGGTACCTGGGAGTTAGTCAGCTGTCACGGGCTGCTTCCTGGGGGTAGAGGCCTGGTCGAGGACCGGGCCGCGGGGACACTAAAAGCCCCGAAATCATCTCAAGATAACCTCAAGATAGATGCCTACTAGTATCTTCAGGAATAACTTTGCTATACAGATATGGAAGCAGTCCATCTAATAGTTTCCTGGTATAAATTATAATGGCGCTCTCCAAGAGTGTAACTTGAAGAATTTTAACTTATCCCAATTATTTAATGTTTTATTGAATGGATTCAGGCAGTAAAAGTTGTCAGCAAGTTCTCTAGGTCAGCAGCGTATCCAGTTTTGACTGTGGCTGTTACTGTGCAACTATATTCCACCCTTGGTACTGCCACTGTTGCTTGTGTAACAGTAAGGTCTGCAAACATGACTACTCACAGATCTACGTTTTTTCTTTCTATAGTGTGGTTTAATTTATATATTCACGAATGTGCCCCCATATTCAATTGGGCTGTACTCGTGAGTAGTTTTGTAGTACTCATGAGTACATGAGTACTCGTGTACTCCTGAGTATATTGTCATGTACCCAGGAGCCGACTGGGAACACCCATGATGTGTCCTCAGTATTTCACTCTTTTTGTGTATATGACCCGTGAAAGTTGGATCTCCCTTGTCCAAGTAACTAGCACTTTCTCTGTAACTAGCTGACATTGTATCTATAAGGTGTGAAGGATTGAAGAAATTGTTTATGTAATAATCTCCGATGAGGTCTGATAAAGACCTTTTGTGCTTTCTGTAATGCTTTTGCGCTACCGCTCACAGGATGAGTATTGGGTGCACAATAAACTAGCCGCCTTCGGCGGCAACAATCAAGTAACTAACACTACTGATGGTTTTTGATTGGCGAAATATTATGGAACTTGTTGTGGTTGAGCGGGGAGGCTGTGTGCTGGGTCACAAAGTCGAAATTTCCAGTTTGGCAGCAGGCTGCTGCTTCTGGAAACTTTCCTTATTAAGACTCCTCAATCAACCCGTTCTCGCACTTTCTTATAGTCAGTATTGACTTATTAAATAAGTGCATATGTGACATACTAATTGATTGTGAATATTTTAGTTTACCTTTGAAAAGCTTCATAGAAAACACCGACATCACCTAACCTTCTTAGTATGTTAAGATAAGCATCTTATTGCTTCTTAATTACAATTATTACTTAACCTATACCGTTGATAGGTTAAGTAATAATTGTAAATAATAAGTAATAAGATGCTTATCTTAACATACTAAGAAGGTTAGGTGAGGTCGGTGTTTTCTATGAAGCTTTTCAAAGGTAAACTAAAATATTCACAATCAATTAGTATGTCACATATGCACTTATTAAATAAGCCAATATTGACTATAAACAAGTACGAGAACGGGTTGCAACGACGGATGTGTTGATGACCGCTGGAGTCCTGACCGTCCTCGTGCGAGTCCCTGGCTTTCAAATTCTTCTTTTTCATCTACATAAACGATCTACCAGAAGGAATAGAGAATTATATGAACATGTTTGCGGATGACGCTAATGTACTGGGGAAGATAGGAGACGCAAACTACTGTAATGACCTTCAAATGGATCTACATAAAATATGTGCTTGGAGCGACATGTGGTAAATGGAATTCAGCGTGAATAAATGCCATGTTATGGAATGTGGAATCTGAGAAAATAGACCACACACAACGTATAAATTAAGTGGAAAGGAATTAAAAAACTGTAATAAAGAAGGAGATCTAGGGGTGGTGTTGGATAGTAAACTGTCACCAGAGGAACACATGTAGATCATTGTGCAAGTAGCATATGCAAGGCTTTCTAATTTCAGACTCACTTTGAACTACATGGTTGGTGAAATACTAGAGAAGCTGTTCATGACTTGAGGCCAAAATTGGAATATGCAGCAGTTGTATGGTGCCCAAATCTCAAGAAGCACATCAATAAACTGGAAAAGGGGCAAAGGCATGCTACAAAATGGCTTCTGGAACTGAAACACAAGAGTTACGGGTTGAGACTAGAGGCATTCACTATTCCAAAGCTAGAAAATGGAAGAAAAAGAAGTGATATGATCACCACTTATAAAATAATAACAGGAATCTACCAAATTTACAAAGAGGAATTCCTGAAACCAGCAACTTCAAGAACAAGAGCACTCAGATTCAAGCTAAGGAAACAAAGGTCCCGAAAATTTTTTTAGAAATTATCTTTTGCAGAGTGGTAGACGGTTGGTAAAAGCAAAGTGAGGTGGTAGTGGAGGTCAAAACCGTCAGTAGTTTCAACACGTTATTAGACAAAGAGTTCTGGGAAGACGGGACACCACCAGCATAGCTCTCATCCTGTAACTACACTAAGATAATTAGAAAATAATTTATGCATTAAAAAAAGGTCTGTTGACCCCCCCCCATACAAGGCATACCTATGTAACACGGAGTTTTCTACTCTCCGGAGGCCAGCCTGGGTTATCTTGAGATGATTTCGGGGCTTTAGTGTCCCCGCGGCCCGGTCCTCGACCAGGCCTCCACCCCCAGGAAGCAGCCCGTGACAGCTGACTAACTCCCAGGTACCTATTTTACTGCTAGGTAACAGGGGCATAAGGTGAAAGAAATTCTACCCATTGTTTCTGGCCGGCGCCCGGGATCGAACCCGGGACCACAGGATCACGCGTACAGAGTGCTGTCCGCTCAGCCACCGGCACCGGTGTTCTCTGAATGTGCCTATGGCACTTCTACTCCTCATTGTTCTCTTCTTTACTTGCGTATGTTTTGCTCCAGTACGTTGTTACTGCTGTGCTAACGGACCTGGCCCTCCATCTTCCATGTGTATATGTCCATCTGTATCCCTCTGTATCCACCCATCCATCCATATCTGCCCATCCGTCTATCCACTCTCCACCAATCTACTCAACTGTCCATCAATTTACTTACCTGTCTATCCATCTCTCATCTATCCATCCATATATCTACTGTCCTATGTCTATGTCACTGTCCCTGTTTTTGCTATCTGTCTCGCATGAGGGTGGTGGCCAGTGAGAGAGCGTAGTGGTTATCTTGAGGTTATCTTGAGATGATTTCGGGGCTTTTAGTGTCCGCGTCCTCGACCAGGCCTCCACCCCCAGGAAGCAGACCGTGACAGCTGACTAACACCCAGGTACCTACTGCTAGGTAACAGGGGCATAGGGTGAAAGAAACTCTGCCCTTGTTTCTCGCCGGCGCCCGGGATCGAACCCGGGACCACAGGATCACAAGCCCAGCGTAGAACACCCTGATAGAACACCCTTGAGAAACCTTTGAAGCTGACGAAGACTCCTGTGTTTTGTGCCAGTATTGACAAATTATTGACAGCAGGAAATTTTTGTAATTTTCCCAATTATCAGTGATTGATGCTGTATATTACTATGGTAATTTGTATTTGTTTTGACCAGTGGCAAAAATCGTAGTGGGGGTGTGAATGTGTTCAATAGTCTCCCAGCAAGTATTATAAATGTTGAAAGACCTGAGGTGGAAGTCTTCAAGAGGCATTTATGTTCTTGCAAGAAGTGCCGGACCAACTGGGTTAGTGTGTGTGTACTCACCTAGTTGTGTCTGCAGGATCGAGCATTGACTCTTGGATCCCGCCTTTCGAGCATCGGTTGTTTACAGCAATGACTCCTGTCCCGTTTCCCTATCATACCTGGTTTTAAAATTATGAATAGTATTTGCTTCCACAACCTGTTCCTGAAGTGCATTCCATTTCCCCACTACTCTCACGCTAAAAGAAAACTTCCTAACATCTCTGTGACTCATCTGAGTTTCAAGCTTCCATCCATGTCCTCTCGTTCTGTTACTATTCCGTGTGAACATTTCGTCTATGTCCACTCTGTCAATTCCTCTGAGTATCTTATACGTTCCTATCATGTCCCCCCTCTCCCTTCTTCTTTCTAGTGTCGTAAGGCACAGTTCCCTCAGGCGCTCTTCATACCCCATCCCTCGTAGCTCTGGGACGAGTCTCGTTGCAAACCTCTGAACCTTTTCCAGTTTCATTATATGCTTCTTCAGATGGGGACTCCATGATGAGGCGGCATACTCTAAGACTGGCCTTACGTAGGCAGTGTAAAGCGCCCTAAATGCCTCCTTACTTAGGTTTCTGAATGATGTTCTAACTTTTGCCAGTGTAGAGTACGCTGCTGTCGTTATCCTATTAATATGTGCCTCAGGAGATAGATTAGGTGTTACGTCCACCCCCAGGTCTC